AAATCAATTGTTTTTTCGTTCTTTTTTCTTTTTTTTTTTTTACTGAACTTTTATAATTAAATATAATGTATATTTTAGGTTCACCAAACGGTAAAAAAAACATTTTGTAACAGGATAACTGGGTGGAATGTATTTTATTTTATTGTTACTAATGATATATCACTGTTGACGACACCTGTTATGACCTAATTAATCTTCAGAACGTAACTCTTAGAATATTACTGCTATTCACCGTTATCACTTATATCGTCATTGATATTGTGATTAGGTTTATCAAAGAAGAAAAAAAAATCTGAAATTGATAGAAAAGCAACGACAGCAGTAACAGGAACAGCAGCAGCAGCAGCAGCAGTAGTAGTAGTAGCAGTAGAAGAAGAAGAAGAAGAAGCACCAGAAGCAGAAGCGGTATCAACAGCAATAAACATTGGCTAACAATAGAAATAACAACGACGAAAAAGACGAGAAAAAAAATTGCTTGTAGTGGCAGCAGCAGCAATTTTAGAAGAAAATAGAAGTTAAGGTTGTTTGCTGCGATGAAACGAAGGAAAGGAACTATAGAATGGTTTAATGGACTGATATTCAAATATTTTTTCTTTACTGGCATATTCTATAGTTCATTCGTTAAAGCTTCAAATAGTAAGTCGTTAAAGCATTTTCATCTGTGCAACTTTTTTCTTTTTCTCGTTTTTTTTGCTTTTAATTATTTTAATTATTGGTTATTTTAACTGTTATACTAATCTTCTTCGTAACTTTTGATTACTGATTACAAAAATACCAGTGTTATAATCATTTGGCTTGTTTCTTATAATAGCTGATGTAAAAAGGGTGAAAGTGTCTTACCACTAGTAAGGAAACAAAGGGCAGGGGTTTTTTTTAGTTTTCGAAGTCAAAAGTAACCATCAATAATTTTTTCTGCTCATTTTACTGTCGTTTAAGCCCTTTCTAATTTTTTTTTTTATTACATTTTTAAGTTTTGATTATGGTTTTTTTTTGAGTTTTAATAGAGAAAATGGTTAAATTACAGGAAAAAAAGATGTAGAACCGTAAAAATAAATGAAGCTTATTTCCGGACTTTTTTCTGTATTTCTTTTCTATTCAATTTTTTTCACCGTATCTAAAAATGCTAAAATTTACATGAATATATCAGTTATTTTCTTCTAGCTTTAATCTATAGAAGGATTAAACAAAAAGAGAAGCAGCAAAAGTTTTTAGTCTATAGATTTTTTTTGCAGATAACTGCAGTCACAGAAGACAGCAGATTAGAGGAGGGAAGAAGAAGTGTACAACTTAATTGACATACAATTATCGGATCTTTGATGGCTGTTACTGCAGTCTTTGATTAGAATCACTGCCGCAAAGTCACTAAACAAAATTTGATATATCAAACAAAAAAAAAAAA